TCAGGAACTAGTGGGCCAGGCTTGGATTTCTCGAAAAAATCTTAAGTTAAATCTCAGACTTAAGTCTGAGTTTTTACTCAAATTTCTGAGAAAAATCTCAAATTTGAGTAAACTCAAAAAATTGCATTTCTCGAAAAAACTTAAGTAATTTTTCTAACTCAAACTCAGAATAAACTTAAGTTACCTTCTTAGTAGACTTAAGTCCTTTAATAAAATCTCAAATATGCCGGTGAAAAACAGACGGCAGCGTCGTAGACGTCGGCATAGGCAGAAAGTCGCACACAACAGGCTTGTTGACCGTGAAAACCCTTTAGAATTAATGCCAGAGGAGGATATTTTCAAAAGATACCGTTTCCGCCCGGCCACAATTTTGTCTATAGTGAATCTACTTAGACAATCCCTTGAGAGAGATACTCTGCGAAGCTGTGCCCTCACCCCCCTTTTGCAAGTGTTGGCCACGCTAAGATTTCTTGCCACAGGAGGTTTTTATTCTTTAGTTGCCGATACATTTGACAGCCTGTCCCCATCCACTGTGTGCAGGGCGGTTAAGGATGTGTGCCATGGTTTGTGTCAGGTGTCGAGACAATTTATAAGGATGCCGGCAAGAAACGCAGCTGATGAAGTTAAAAAGCATTTCTATTCCATAGCAGGTAAACAACAAAACAAGGGAAGTAATCACAGAACAAATGGGTGCAAGTTAAATTGTACCATAAATCCTTCGAATCAATCGTATTTTGATTTTACATGCTTCTTACATTTTGTTGCAACAGATACTTGAAAGAAAAAAAATAACAGAAAGGAAAAGAAATGGAATGTCTTTATTATGAAGTTTATTTACACCTTCATGTACATATAATTGTTCCAAAACATTAATGGGAAAGGGGGTTCATGGGCACCTGAAGTGTGGAACCCCCTCCCCCTCAAACATTACTACTGAATTTTAAGAAAGCATAAGAACTTATAATTTCTCAAATACATTATATTTTCCCATTAGTCACACCCATATGTTATTCCGAACAAGCAGATTGTACTTATTCTTTCGTTTAGAAGTATAGACAATGTTCAATATTTACATGTATATACCTATGTCTATATGGCCATTCTCTAAACGTAAGAAAAAGTTTAATCCTGTCTATATTGAACAAAAAATGGGTGCAATTGACTGGGAAATCTCCTAATTTTAAGAAGTTAAATTCTCTTCACTTTTTTAATTAAAGTAATGGCGTATTTGAGTTGATCATATTACGAGATAGAGAATAAATTTAATTGTATGTACATGATATTATATGTAAGATACATTCAAATTAAAGATTTCGCCGATTTTTAATTTGATATATATATATATATATATATATCTGGGATATATGGTTAAATTGACTTTAAACTTGTCTTATTTACATGTTGAGTCGGTATATGCAAATAAATTGGATATTGTTTAAAATTTTCGATATACTTTGAAAGGCGTTTGAATTACATGTAAGAAGTGCAATTAACAGAAAAGTCAAATTATATTAGAAAGTAATAAATGTAATAGAAAAATATTTTCAATATTTGGATTATCAACTTAAGAAAAATACAGAGAGAGAGAGAGAGAGAGAGAGAGAGAGAGAGAGAGAAGGGGGGGCACTACCTCAATATCAAAATCATCAAACAAACAAAATTAAAAAACAAAACAAAAATAATTTAAAGCCAAAATAGCGGTAAATTACGAGACAGAAGATGGTTATTTTCCATTGTAAAGTTGCAACATGCTTGAATATTTTTCATTTTACTTATTTCATGGTCCTAGGTTTTCCAAATGTCCTCGGTTGCGTTGATGGTACCTTCATCAAAATTCAGGCACCTTCAGAGAATGAGCCAGATTATTTGAACAGAAAAGGGTACCATTCTCTGAATGTACAGGTAATTTGTTATGAAGTATAAATTATTTGCAATGGCCATAAACTGATCGTAAAATTAAATTTTTAAGAGATTTTCTGTAGTTCTATTCACAAAAAAAATTAAAAATCACTCTCTAATAATATATTCAGTTACTAGTACATGTATTTGTATAAATATCAGATGATCTCCGATGGTAAATTCCGGATTTTGAACTGTGTTGCCAAGTGGCCCGGAAGTGTACATGACAGCCGGATTTTCCGAGACAGTCATATAAGCATTCGATATTGCTATTTGCAATGGCGTGAAGTCACCTTTGAAAAATGAAGAACGAACCCGATCTTTTTTTTTTTTTTTTTTTTTTTTTTTTTTTTTTACAACAAAGTACACTCGGACAGTATTTAATCCTTTACTAATATACTTCCTTTTATAAAAAAAATCTTTAAAAATGAATATAATTCCCATCTATTTTTATGACGAAATGCAACTTTTTTTGTAAAACGGAAACCAACGTAATTTAAACAAGCCATGTATCAAGAGCACGCTGTTGCTTTTTTTATTATATGAATTCAATAGCAAGCCCTAAATTATATTAAATTCAAACTAAGAAGCTTTTACATAATTTTTCATCTCATAAAAAAATCAGCACAAGTCTGATGCAAAAATGCCCGAACATGCTAAGAAAAGGTACGCATTCTAGCCGTACGTTTAGGGAACTGAAAAAAGCCAAATAAACATTAATCTGTGATTATCTCTTAAGGGAGATGTGTGCGAGGCAATTAAGCAGTTTTGAGGGAGGGGTCATCACATTTATTGGGTTTAAATTAAGGTTAGAATACTACTAGTAATTATTAAGAAGCCTTCTTACCACCCACACTTTTTTTTTAGGGGGGGGGGACTTTCCAAATCAAAAGCGGTTTAAAAAATAAAAAAAGGAAAGAGACAGTTAAATTTATCATAGTAAACTAATTGTTCAAATTTTGAAGAATATCCATATCAAAATATTTTTCAAAGCATGAATTAATATCGGTTACGATTAACTTGGCTGTTGTAAAAGTATAGGTAGCTGAAAGCAGTTTCGTATAAAATCCAGGGGATTTTTCCTGGAACTGAGAGAACCATGCTGGGTAGGGATTTCCCTAATATTTAAAGGAAGTCTACATAACACTACATTTTTGGTTTTCATACCCGAAAAGAAGATTTCTTAAACGCGTATATGATTATCTAGGAGGGTGACTTCACGCCATTGCACATTTATTTGATTATAAAGCAAGGTGACTTCACGCCATTGCACTTTTATATGATTATCTAGAAGGGTGACTTCACGCCATTGCATGTTTCTATGATTATCTAGGAGGGTGACTTCACGCCATTGCACATTTATATGATTATCTAGGAGGGTGACTTCACGCCATTGCATGTTTATATGGTTATCTAGGAGGGTGACTTGACTGACTTCACGCCATTGCACATTTATATGATTATAAAGCAAGGTGACTTCACGCCATTGCACTTTTATATGATTATCTAGGAGGGTGACTTCACGCCATTGCATGTTTATATGATTATCTAGGAGGGTGACATCACGCCATTGCATGTTTATATGATTATCTAGGAGGGTGACTTCACGCCATTGCATGTTTATATGATTATCTAGGAGGGTGACCTCACGCCATTGCATGTTTATATGATTATCTAGGAGGGTGACTTCACGCCATTGCACATTTATATGATTATAAAGCAAGGTGACTTCACGCCATTGCACTTTTATATGATTATCTACGAGGGTGACTTCACGCCATTGCATGTTTATATGATTATCAAGGAGGGTGACTTCACGCCATTGCACATTTATATGATTATAAAGCAAGGTGATTTCACGCCATTGCACATTTATATGATTATCTAGGAGGGTGACTTAACGCCATTGCACGTTTATATGATTATCTAGGAGGGTGACTTCACGCCATTGCATGTTTATATGATTATCTAGGAGGGTGACTTCACGCCATTGCACATTTATATGATTATAAAGCAAGGTGACTTCACGCCATTGCACTTCTATATGATTATCTAGGAGGGTGACTTCACGCCATTGCATGTTTCTATGATTATCTAGGAGGGTGACATCACCCCATTGCACATTTATATGATTATAAAGCAGTGTGACTTCACGCCATTGCACTTTTGTATGATTTATCTAGGAGGGTGACTTCACGCCATTGCATGTTTATATGATTATCTAGGAGGGTGACTTCACGCCATTGCATGTTTATATGATTATCTAGGAGGGTGACTTCACGCCATTGCACATTTATATGATTATAAAGCAAGGTGACTTCACGCCATTGCACTTTTATATGATTATCTAGGAGGGTGACTTCACGCCATTGCATGTTTATATGATTATCTAGGAGGGTGACAATCACCCCATTGCACATTTATATGATTATAAAGCAGGGTGACTTCAAGCCATTGCACTTTTATATGATTATCTAGGAGGGTGACTTCACGCCATTGCACTTTTATATGATTATCTAGGAGGGTGACTTCACGCCATTGCATGTTTATATGATTATCTAGGAGGGTAACTTCACGCCATTGCACATTTATATGATTATAAAGCAAGGTGACTTCACGCCATTGCACTTTTATATGATTATCTAGGAGGGTGACTTCGCGCCATTGCATGTTAATACGACTATCTAGGAGGGTAACTTCACGCCATTGCACATTAATATGATTATAAAGCAAGGTGACTTCACGCCATTGCACTTTTATATGATTATCTAGAAGGGTGACTTCACGCCATTGCATGTTTCTATGATTATCTAGGAGGGTGACTTCACGCCATTGCACATTTATATCCAATTTCCATTTGAGAAAGTTTAACCTTTGCTACAGTTTGCCATACGAGGGCATCAGAGTTTCACAAACTCATCTTGTTTTAAAATATTTTTACTCTTGGCCTAAACCTTGGACTTTGACCTTTTACAAAAGTTGTCATACAGGGAGCATCAGTGTCAAACAAATACATCTTGCTTTTCATTATGTATGCTTTACAACCTTTTTTAAGTTATAAGTGGTAAAAATAAATTTATTATATGCCATTGTAATATAGATTTAAGTAACAATTTTCAGTACAATGATGAAACACTACTAAAATATTTTTGTACTGCTTAAAAATTACAAGTAATATGATATACCAGAAATCAAAAAAAAAAGAAAAGAAAAAGAAACACAAATAACTAATTATATAATGGTTTATAAGATCATATTTAATATCTGTACTGAAACTGAACATGATGAACTCAGTATTTACACCTTAATATACTGTAATACATTGCGCTGTTTTTTTTTAATTCCAAAAAAAAAAATTATTAGTGTTCAGACCTTCCTTAAAATCATTGTAATGTGTAAAATAATTTTACAAAAATCCACATGGAAGCTGAACACATTTATCACAGAACTTTCACTTTGATGTAATGAAATAAAATATCACATGTACATATTAAAGAATTAATCAATATGTATAATTTCTGCAAGATGTAATTTTCTGTTAAATTTATTGCAATATTCTTTTGACTTTAATATCAGGAAGAAAAAATGTCTTTTTGTATTGCATAGGAAAAACTAGCAGGTATTGTTAAGGAATACATGTAGATGTATTAATTTGGCTAAGGCCATATAAAATTGAAATCTTGGTTCTCAGGCCCGCGCGCATCTGTTTGGAGGTACCCGCATTGCCGATTTTATTGTATTTTTGATAAAATAAAAAGTTGGTATTGCGGAGACCAATCCGGGAAAAAAAATTCCGACCTCATTTGTTTCGTAGTTTAGTATTCAAATATCACTTCCGGTAGCCATTTACAATGAGATTTTGGCTACTTCGTTTGAGAATACATTTGAGGACATTACCTACGATGTTTACACGCTGTTAAGCAAGGGATAAAGCAGACATTTTGACCAGAAATGGAAAGTATATCTGTGATTAAAAAAATTATCTTTATGTTAAAGAAAATTCGGAAATTAAAATTTAAAAAAAATACCTCCCTCATCTACTTTATTGCCAATAAAATGAAAAATAAAATGCCGCCCTCCCGCATCTGTTTTGGAGAAAATTGGCCTGAGAACCAAGGAATTAAATTTAGATAGCCTAAAATGTGGGTTCAAAATATTTACATACAGTGGTTTGGATTTACACACAGGCATTAATGATAACTTTAATTAATATAACAATATTTGTTTCATATGATATGCTGCCATTGTCATTATTTCAAAATAACTTCAGTCTTCAATAGTTTATATTGTCATTTTTTTCTCAAATGAAAGTTTGTCATACATATGAATAAATAAATGCACCAGTTTTTAATAGCAACAATTATTTGTTCATTCTTATTTCAGAAAATAATTGAAATTTCATTAAATTTCTCATTTCATTAAATTTCTCAAATGTTTGGTACAACAATATCCAAATTTATAAATAATAACATATGTACATGAAAAATCAAGTCTTCAAACAAAGCACTGATACATGTATTAGTGCATATTTCAAAGGCAATGGATGACATAGATTTATTAGAAATACAAATGTATCCAGTAATTCTTGGTAAATTGTACCATTAAATTATCACTCATCAGCAATAAATATTTAAAGTCAGGTACTTGTTCACTTGCAATTACAATTAAATGTACAATAAAATTTTGAGTTCTTAATTGGAGTACATCAAGCAAATCTTTTTTACTGTTGGCCTGAAAGAGGGACTGACAACTTCACCTTGCATGTAAAGCAAAAAAAAATAATAGTCTCGTTTCCTGCGAATTTAAAACAGGGTGAAATGAAATAATACATATAATTTCTGTAAGTAACTATGAATGGGCTAATTTAAAACGGAACAAAATTGTTTCCAAGTGTAAAAGGGTGAAAATTAAACGGGGCGAAAATACCCCTGTATACAGTATCTAATTAAAAATGTCACGTGTCAATTTTGTCTCTTAAAATTAAAGAATGAGTGCACTAAGTACGTCTTTGGAACCTTTTCGGCTACCCATTTTGATTTGAACATATTTTATTATGTAAGAAATACATAGAAGGATTGGGCAGCAGGCACAGCCTATATAAGCCCTCTCCATTGGCTACCCAAGATGTTAATATCATGTATTTTATGAAAGTCCATATTTAATTCCATCGTTGGAAACCTAAGGTCGGTCTTGCTTCTCTTACCGAGACCATAAGAAAAGCGAGACAGACCGTGGGTTTCCGACGATGATTTAAAACAGAATTTCATGAAATGCTTGTTCTGTGTTAACAGGGAAACCAGTTACAGTGTCAGAATGATAATATTCTGATTTATTCTTTTAAATCTAAAGAAAAAATTTAGGATCAGGTGCAAAAAAATTAGGGTAAGTTGGGTAGCAGCAAACAAGACTATTATTTTTTCGGCCTTAACAAATGACAAACTAATGGAATTAACTAAATTACATTTCAGAATCTTTTCCGGCGTGCAATTCTTTCATTTTCATTTTTACGTACATGGTATTGACTCGATAAAACTCAGCTTCTTCTTTAAACTTCTTGCTTTCCTGGATATATTTTTCTCTTTCTGCCCTCATTGTCATGATTTCATCCTCTTCCATAGTCTTCCTTCTTTTTGATGTCTTTGCCGAGGAGAATGAAGGAGGAAGCTCCAAATTTACAATACCTAGCTGGGTTGCATCATTCTGTATCTCGTAGATGGCTGATACACCTAAATTTAATTAACAGAATTGAATAGCATATACAAGAGGCCCATGTGCCACATCGCTCACCTGAGCACTATGGCTAGGAAAAAGCAGAAATTTTTAATTTATTATTGAAAAGTTTAACCTCAAAGAGTCCCAACAATTCCTTAAAGGAGAGAGGGTATGATTGCACAAACTTGAATCTACACTACCTGAGAATGCTTCCATATAAATATAAAGGACTTTTCTTGAAAAGAAGATTTTTAAAGAATTTTCCTATATATTTCTATGTAAAACTTTGATTGGCTATTGTGGCCCTGCCCTTCTCTCGGGGATCATGATTTGAACAAACTTGAATGTACACTACATGTACTTGAGAATGCTTCCCCATAAGTTTAATCTTTCCTGGCACAGTGGTTCTTGAGAGGAGGATTTTTAAACATGCCACCAAATTTTCACTATTTCTGAATTATCTCCCTTTGAATGAGGCCGTAGCCCTTCATTTGGACAAACTTGAATCCCTTTACCCAAGAATGCCTTGTGGCAAATTTGGTTGAAATTGGCCCAGTGGTTCTAGAGAAGAAGTCAGAAATGTGAAAATTTTACAGACTGACAGACGTCCGGATGCCGAAGAAAATGTGATCAGAAAAGCTAAATTTCATCTTTTGTTGACAGAATGCATTTTTAAATCATTCTTTTTAGAGTTGAAAGGTTGCACAATAATATAATTGAGCCATAAGGTAAGCCTTACCTGTACCACTTGCACTTGTTGACGGCATGCAGTCGTTTGTCATGGTGTGCATTTCCTCTGGTACAACTGTTAGAATTACTAAAAAAAAATAACATGTTACATTGACACTATGTTATTACAGTTTTAAAATAAAGTAGTACATATGTATATAATCATGTAAATTAATGATTTTATGGTTATAAATTAGTGCATTTATACATATATGTACTTCAACGATTAACACTGCACAGTATTTTAAAATCTACCGGGTACATTTGTTATATTCCAGTGAGGTTAAAAATGAAATTTATTGTCTTTTGAATTAAAAAATATAAATCATCAGGGTATTTTTAGATACTTCCAGTCCTATTATCTTGCTTTTCAAATATTTAAACAATAAATCCAATATGAACCTTCCTCCGTGTCATGTCCAGTGGACAGGCCACATAGGGTTGGCCTGTCTTCAAGGTGGCTTAGTAGCTCAGCTTCTACAGGGGTTGGGGAGGGAGGTTTGGGGCCCCCACCTGTAACTGGTCTTCTAATGGCATCAGACTTCTCTTTTGCTGTCATAAAACATTAAGTACACAATGTATATTTTATCATATTTTCCAGTCCACATGTCTCAGTTACTGTCAACTTAATTTTTTTTTTATTTTAGGCCACGGAAAAGCTTATTATATCAGTTATTTCTATCATTCATGTTAAATTATTTCATTTAAAAAATACATGTCCAAAAATAATATATGTGAATATGTGCACATGACCAAGCCATCTTTTGCTTGCCCTTTTCTGACCTACTTGTAGCACAATTAATATTGGATTATACAAATGAATTTACTTCTATAAATGCATTTATGAAATCAAACAACTCTATCACATAACTTTTTAATTTTTTTGGTCATTTGAAGACATTTAAAACTTTATAATAATATGGTGTTTTATGTATGATGTTGAATAAATCAATATATAGCCCTGTACTTAAATAAAAATTACCTCTTTGCTTTATGTTGGCATATTGTTTCTTGATCTCGTCCACCGTGCGTTGAGTTGTATCAGAGTTTCTGAAATATTTAAAGATTTAAATGTAGTACTGCAATGACTGCATGCTTGATCATAATTAATAAGTGCTGCATCAAATAATAATGTGAAACAATTACCAGTTGTTCTGACAACCAACACTTTTTTTTAATTTTCTGGGAATTTGTTTTTGTTACATGAAGTTTTAGACTTTGCAAGGGGGCAAATATTTAACTTCGTTACAATTAAAAAAAAGAAATTTGTTACAATTAAAAAAAAAGATATTTTATAATTGTTCCCTCCTTATCTCTCAACACTTTTTGTTATTATATGTAACAGAAAACAAGTGAATATATGCTTGTTCTCCCTGATGACTTCACCCATCCCCACCCCACTCCATTTTTTTTGGCTTGTACAAATTTGTGTCATGACTCGATCAATCATGTTGATCAAACTGGAATTGTCATTTTCATACCGGATATATATTTATGATTCACTGCTGATTGGACACTGCATCTTTACTAAAGTCTGATGATATTATTTATCTTTAGCTAAAGAACTGTAGAGCTAATTGTACAGTCCTCTTAATTTGGCCCTGGTATTTGTCTTAGTAAAGAGTGAAAACATCACTTTTGTAGCATGGTTGATGCCAACATGTTTGGTGAATCTATAAATAAATTGAATACATCGATGTGTGTATTTGATTTAATTTTCAAAACAAGTATACACGATTTTAGTTTCGTACTAAAGTCCCGGTCAAATATCTTAAAACACTGAGATCTCTCATGTTTGATGTGATATTCGATGCAGCAAAATGAAAGGAACCATTATGGGATATATGGCCAGTCTAGCAGAGCGCTTGTTGAAAAAGTATAGCTACGCAGCTTACAGGATAAAACCTTACTTTCACTTTCTACGCTCACCAACCGTGCAAAGAACGATAACTCTAATTACGCGATGATATGAAGAGAGCTCTAAAAATACAAGTTTTTCAAGCCTCTGAAACTTCTATAAGGGGTCATAAGCGACCCCATGAATTCAAATCTGAAAACTGTTTGAAAATCCATTGAGAAATAAAAGAAAGTTACAGACAAAGGTGTGTTTTCAATAATGCGGCTTTAAAAAATCGGCAAAATTCTCAATATATGTTTTAAAAGATAGAATAGTCATTTCAAACTGAAAAAAGTGGGAAACCAAAAAAAAAATTTCAACTGCCCCCAGCGGGATTCGAACCCCCGACAGTGTGTCAAAGTTAGGATCGGTCATATATTTGCAACAAATGCACGCATGAAAATATTGAAAACATATTTAGAATTCTAAAAAGACACTCTATCGACCCTGAAAATACGAAAGAAAAATATTGAAAAGCAAAAAAGTTGAAAAATTGAATGTTTTGAATTTACTTCCGTTTGCGACCGGAAGTCAGAACGACGAAAAATGAAGGTCGATCAACACATCTACATTCGATACTCTATCACGTCCGTGAGTTTCAGTTTCATATCTATTGACATCCTCGAGAATTTTTTGCGACAAAATTCCATTTAAAAAATACAAATTTCCCCAAAAAACGCGAACGGAGGTAAATTTCGAAAAAGTGAGGGACACCCCTGGAGATATTAACATGATGCATCATACCTGCAAAAATCGTTTAAAATCATCCACGCACAGCTGAGATATGACCTGTACTATGAAAAGTGGAATAATAATAATAATAATAATAATAGAAAACAGAAGGAAAACAATAAGGTCTTCCGAAGGAAGTCGGAAGACCTTAATAATAATAATAAAAAGAAAAAACAGTAGAATCACTATAAGGTCTTCCGTCTGAAACGGAAGACCTTAATAAAAAGAAACAGTAGAATCACTATAAGGTCTTCCGTCTGAAACGGAAGACCTTAATTACAAGTTGTCGCATAGGTTCACGTCAGAAAATGGCTGATGCAAAATAATTCCTAAATTTTCCTCTTTAACTGGAGCATTCCTGCATTGGACAGGGCTGATTTTTGTTATGAGATGATAAACCATGTGTAAACTTTCTTACTTCAGCGGAATCATGGACATTTTCGGCGTTATGAATGTTTTGTTTACTGTAGCGGTGAGGGCATCGCGCAGCTATTGGAGCGGATCCAAGGATTTATGAATGAATAAAAAAGATGGAAATAAAGTTTGATTTCTTCTGTATTATTTAATGACATTTTTCATTTGCAAGTAATAGATATATACAAGAAATCGCGAAATGCTAATAAATGCAGCTGAAAATCTTTATTTTCTCAAGATAAAAAAAAAGATGAAATTAAATAATTATAAATTCTACATACAAAACATAGGAAGAATGAATGATCGCAAGTTATCAGATGAAATTAGGAGAACTGATTTTTATGAATGAAACTTTTAAAACGTTACTTGTACGTTGAAGATGTTATAT